AGACTGGGCTTGATCAATTAAGTAAATTAGCAGAAAATGACCAATGACTATCGATAGTGCATTGAGCGGAAGAAGCAGCGAAAAAAAAATCGTGCGGGCATTCGAGCGCAACGTCTTTTTTAGATCACCGACAAAACGAATGACTTTGAAATCGGGAGGAAAGAAACTAGTAGTTACACGTGTAGGCCGGAGTAATGTGGAAGGTTATTAATTTTTTGTTAGTCCATTCATGCTTTGACTAATACATCGATTACATTCAGATTTTCAGCATAAATCGTCTACAAGTGAGCGAGACAGTTGCAATGCAAGATACGCGTTACAAGTGAACATTCGATTAACGCACAAACAGAAACGAAATTCTGACTAAGGAAAGAGGGGGTTCGTAACTCGCATGCTCTAGATACGACCAAGTACCATCCATTTGGCCATAGCGACCGCAATGACATCTTTTACACTGAACCCCCACCACAATGCAAGAAATGGGCTGTTTGATTTCGGTAAATCTGTGTTTATGAAACAAAAAGTAATGCGCTGAGAGTACCACCATCCATTATGTAATGAAACCTACAAACAGTGCTTCTCACACTACAAAAATTGCCGCAACTAACGAACGACTTTTCGAACGTGAAAAACTCAACAAAAACAAAATCACACGCGTAAAGGTAAAGCCGTAGATTTATCAGCGTTGTTTGGCGCCAGTGACGCTGTTGCTACCTAGATGATCTGAAGATTAAAGAGGTACTTAGGTGAACAAAACGGCTTCAAACAGGACTAGTTGCACCAGTTGGTCCCCAGAGCAGGAAACAAACACCGATGGGTGCACGAACTAGGTGGATAACAAGTGGGACACCGAAACCAGATTCCAAGAAGCCCAAGGAGCGAAAGAAAATATTGGAGGAAAGGTCTGATTCAAAACCACGCAACTGCCACGAGTTCAAGTTTTACGATTAGACGGACAAATACTGTGGTGTTTATCGTTCATTGTTTATGACATATTCCAGCACAAATTATATATATATCCGGAGAGAGAGTTTCTGCACCAATCCCGAACTGTCTACGAATGTGAACGGATAGTAGCAAGGAACATTTCCCAGATTATCCTGAATCTGGAGCAATTTTAATGACTTACTATTACTTTCCATCGCTCGCCTTCTCGCAAACGTTCAACAAAAATGGGCGGATATTTTTTTCACTGGGGAACTTCAGAGGGAGAGAGAGACAGATGTAGGAATGGAGAACACTGATCGATACTTCAAGTCTAAAATCAGTGCCACTATTGAATGGGAAGTTCACTTCGTTTGTGCGGCGAAACTTTCCCGGATAATCACGTCCTTACCGTCATTTGCCGCAAAAGCTCACGTGGCATTTTACTCCATCATCGAACTAATATTTGGCAGTAGTTTCACGGGTAGCATGTGACGTAAAAATATGCTCAGCGGGATATCTGCAACAAGTGCATCATTGTTGTATGACGACTATCAGCAGGTTAAATTCCTTGTTAGTAAGAAAGTATTCTTTCCTGTTTGCATTCAAGCAGGTGGCTTTGATTACACGCACCACGCCTGAGTTTCACCTCATATCTACTAGCGTACAACTAGGCTTATAAACCATTTTCCCATGCCGTAGAATTCATTTGGTGAGTCAGTTTAACCAAAAGACACGTTGAATCAAGCACGTCTGATACCCAATCCAAAATAAATCTTCCAGACTCCTATAGAGCATTATGAAAAGCGAGCTAGAGCTCTGCATGGAACAGGAAAAATTCCATTAACGAAAAAAGAACGGCAGAGCAGACGGGATGAAAGACAACTGGCAAATAGTTGTTCAGCCGCTTGACAAGTGCCGCTGGCTCTGCCGTATTCGAACAGACCGAACTATCAACTCCTGTAATAGTAGAGCAGTGAAGAGAAGGCTGGATGTATAGCACATTGTAACATTGATGAACTACAACTTGCATCAATTCCGCTTTGTTTTACTCTTAACCCCAAAGATATTGATCAGACGAAACCAGGTGGTTCAATGGATAAGAGAAGCTTTTTTATGACCTTATGATAAAAAGTTTGTCATCGGTATTTCTATCAAGGCAAACTGTTAGTTTTCGTTTTATCTGTCGTGAAAAACAACGCGTAAATTTTACACCAGAACATAGCAACTACTTAGTTCTCCAATATGAGGAACTCTGAAGACCAAGGTGCAACAGCAATTAAGAGGATACGACAATATGAATCCCATTTGAGTTGTGTGCAAGTGTGAAATCCATGAAAATGAAATAACAATTAGTAATAGCGAATTCATACCTGGAAGATCACTTTCGGCAAACACATCAAACCGTGTTTACAAGTGACGGAGTTCGTGATGAAGGCACGTGGTATGTTAAACTACTTCATCACGAAACGTAACAACCATTTCAACACCGCACACATCATCAGACCNCCCGCCCCAGAGAGAACAGGAAGTACCGTATCACACAGGTAACGGCCACATATTTCGCCAGAGTTTTGTTAATATCAGACACGAATCTGCTCAAATGGGTATCAACGATTCACATCCGTTAGCACAAACGGGGCGAGAATAGTTCTGCCTACATCCCGTAGCATACAGCAGCACTCATTTAACAAACCGGCTAATCGAGAATTCGATCTATTGATACGTATGTTTTCAGCATGCCCTGCATGGTATCCATACATCACCTGTACTGGTTCGTCTGATGCAAACAGTGAATGTGAATGGTTGATTTCCGCTCACAATCATTTACGTTTACGAACGCATGAGACTGAGACGAGCGCGGTGGTTCGTTATTTGGTATCTAGCACAGACACCACTTTCGGACAGTAGCTAAGTTTTTATGGTCTGTATCAAATACATATAGTACCCATTAGATAAGTATCAAGTCATACTACGCCCTTCAGTCTAGAGTCCCACTGAACAGACTAGTGTGTGTGATGGTCCACATAATGAGTGTCTCACGAAAAACTAGGTGTGCGCAGTTTGTAATTTTCATGACACCGGTATCTCGATTATTTCCGTAGTAAGTCACTGACTTTAGATTACTCACTCCCCCATCCCCTCTGGCCATAGAGAGGTGTTAGTTTTTACAAGTCAGATTAGTCATATGATTGCACGGCTCCGTTCACAGTTGTAGTTCCTATTTATAACTTACCTACATCAGGCGTGCACCATATGCGGAACATATGTCCTTCAAGTAAAAGATAAATTGCAAACCGCAAACGTATGTGGAGGACACATGACCGAAAGAACGGAACTAAACAAGTTGAATAAACTGACTATAGTCAACGCTGAGGTAGCCCGTATTCATGGGATGTATATGAAACTAGTCTTAGTTGGGCTGTTTTTCAACTTTAATCCAGACGATCGGCTTATAATAATTGTACACGATGGGATAGACTGAGGTCTCCGAATATTTGCTGACAGTTTTCTAAACGGTTAGTAACAAAAATGCAACTTAGATTAAATATTTTTTAGTACAAGAGTTACATTTAGCACAACTAATAACCGTGCTCTATTTTCGTCTACTTTTCCTTGCTACTCCAAACGAAGAAATAGTGGAATATTAGGCTCGTTTACCTGAATAACTTAGCAAGAGAACAGTGAAATGAAAAGCCGAGTAAGATGCAGAGTTCTCCTTGTTAGGGGGGGAGGGGGGAAGCAAGCAAAACCTGTAAATGACCAGGCTTCAACGTTTAACGCACTCAAAGGAATCGTTTAGTGCCCCCCCCCCCGGCACCAAAGTATCTATTCCGGAGAACTAGTGCGATACACGCAACAAAACCCACCTGGTGATAATATTTACTGAAATATGCTATTAACAACGATTTGCATCCATTAAAACAACAGACGGTAATCTAGGTATTAATTTATCGGCATCTGAAAATCCCTAATTTGATCACCGATAAGTGAGACTCTAAATTACACAAAATGCTAAGAACGAGCACAGAGTTGTGTTATCGTACGCATAAAAAAGTCTATTAGTTGAGGATAAATGAAAATGTGGCAATTCACTAAAATGAATAGGTAGCATTGGCAGTGATACACATTAGCGATGATAAACCGAATGATCCCTAGCCTCAAGCAAAATGCATTTGAGAGAAATATTGCACAAAATGGCGAGACTGGCCCTTGACAATAAAAGTAGAAGATACAATCAAAGGTATGATGAACGCTCATAATATATTTATCTGTTCGATATCCAGTAACAGTATTGTCGGAAAAGTTGCTAAACAGTCGACGCTCGAGTTTCCAAGTTAAGCATAAGTAGACCTAGTATAAGTAGACGTGCGGTAAAGTGAAAATGTCAACCTTAATTTGTAGAAATCCAAATTTGCGCTCTTCATGTTGCCTTCTAAGTATATTTATGGATTTTATTGGTGAGATTGGTTGTCAGGATCCTGACACATCCTCGTTCGTCGCCGCATACCGTCGCGGATATTCATTCCGCTGAGCAATGTCCACTTATTAACAGTTAACCACCTACGTGGCTTAATCTTGACTGGAAGACGCCCACAATAGCGTGCAGCGCCGCTAGCCGCCAACTGTAAGTGGAATACCACGTTTTACTATCTTATCGGAATTCATGATGTGGGTCACAGTAACAATGCGTAGTAAAACAAGCTATCGTTATTACATTCATTGGTCGGTAAGGCTTAAACAGAATAGGAAGGAGGCTTGTGCTATTATGTCGCAGCGACAAAGAGATCACGATGAGCGCGAAATGATCAATATTGAAATTGAATTTTTGGGTTAACCCAGACTCCAAAAAGTTATGTAACTGAATCCTTACGAAAACATTAGGGTAGTCTTCTATAACCTATTGCTTCGACCAAACAGTTATGATTGTATCCCTTCGATTCCCTGCGCTCTTGCAGACGAACAACCAGACAGTGCGGAAAATTATAAAGGCGTAGGGTGGAATCATGGTTCAGTCTGAAATTCGAAAATAAAAATAGCATGCGATTAAGGTTATCGAAAACAACTAGGCCTCCTTACTCATTCGATTCCAAACTGGTGACTCGGGCAAGGTGATTTTTTGGCACATAGCCCCGTTGCCCGGTTGCAGTGCACTCCGCATACCACCAATCACAATGTGATCGATCCAAAATACGAAATGTTTGCCCTTTGGTCATGTTGAGGTCATCATCAACTCGCTTCACATAGTCATGTAGTGCAACATACAAATTTTCAGAAGCAGATGATGTGGCCGATGAAGTGGTAGCGGTCGTCGTGTTTGTGATGGATACATTTCCTTGTGCAATGTCAGGTACGTGAGAAGCAGTTGCGGTCGGAAGGGACGAGGTGACCCCACAATCAGCCAGAACTTGTGGTCCTGGGGGGATGAACGCCGCTTGCAATGGGTTGTTCAAGTTATAATTCACTGAGTTAGTCAAGTTAACCTCAGCGCCAGATTCCGGTAATCGTTTTATCGAACCTTTTATTGGATACGCATTCTGAGNACCAGAACGAAGTCGCCCATTGACGAACGAGCCGGAATCGTTGATGGAACCAGGGACGAGATCGGACATGGTCATTTTATAGGGGACTTGTTGACGTCGATCGGAGACCGAACGGTTGTTTTGGTCGAGTATTGTATGCGTAGGATCTCCCTGTATTGCAAAATGGTAATAATAACAGGCTAGGAAGAAGGGCTTCAAGAAACGTGGTATGAAATGGATAAGTTATATATAGACTTACATTGTTATCATAGATATTAATGTGACGAACAGTGAAGGTAAAGTTAGCAGCCATGAGTACTCCACGTTTGGTCATGTAAACTAGCAATCTAAGTGTTGGTGAACCAAATAGAATATCAATATAACAGCGTTGCATTGAGTATAGCAAACCTGTTCAATTTAAAGCAAACTGATTTAAGATTTATATGAACTTTTTGATGAGTTCTGGAAAAGAAATCCAAGGAGCGAAGTTGTGCTGCTAGCAAGTGAAGGGACTACGAGAAGCAAATTGCGGGGTCTTGGACACAGGTGATTCGCCCCTGCACATTATATGATCACGGTGGTGAGTAATCTCACAACTCACATCAAGGGACAATGATGGCGAAAAAACACTGATTATTAGCGATCTCTACGTGTGTAAACTGTAATCTGTTACTTTGACGGAGTGATTCGGTGCATTGATATTTACTTTCCATCCCGCCGTCACAGCTCTGGCTCGATACTGAAACGTTTCCCGTTAAGGGTAGACCACCAACGAGTCATCAACTGGACAAATTACTAGATGCTTACTGACCAGTGAATCAAGAACGTGGTCTTATAATCCAAATTTCAAAAACGGACAGTTCCGGACAATAAGGCTGAAATGTTGATACCCTTTGCCATACAACTTCTTACCACTGCGGAATCCCTATCTTCCAATGACGAGCATCAAGAACGTCTAGAATTATACTTTGATGCCCAAATTATGGGATATTGATATTCAGAATAATGATTGATGATTAGTGGTATTATTACGCATTACATGATAATACAATCTATGATACGAGTAGCACGGCGTGATATGAATGTGTTGGACAGCAGTTCATTGAATGTTTTCCCCGTCCCGGTTTCGTTTTCAGTTGTCGTATGCGAAGGCAAACAACAAACAGTTCGCTTTCGGTATTACAATCATTAACCATTCACTGTCGTGCACCGGTTTCGAGTGATGTCCTTAGACTGACCATTTTGATGTAAGAGCGGAGAAGATTGGAATCTTGAGAGCAGAGTCAAAGGGAAAACAGCGAATTATCAGACTACATCTAACCTCAGTATTGCTTGTCTGATTGCCCCATGGCTCGTGTAATGCTGCATTGATAGCGATGTTCGACACTCGCACTTTATCCTATTCCCTTAAAGAAAAGATGCAACATAGCAGTGGATCGTTTGGTGTTTTGAAACAGACACTTGACGGAGATAGTTTATGACTAATGTAGATAATCAGGAAAGTAGCCGAACGATTAGATCAACAGTAATTGAGGTCCCTGAATGGGAACCTCGGGATGAGCATACCTGATGGTTAGAGACACTGAGTGATATGGTGAGTGTCGTAAACAGTGGCATTCGCGCATCTTGTAAATTTCTCTGCAGAAATCGTCCACTGAAATTTTAAATTTTCTTTGATCCTACTTCCAACCTTTCCTGTCTTTCTCCTACTGTTCATCCAAATGGGCAGCCAAAAGACAGCAACCGGCGAACGATAGTGCACGGTCAATGGTTGTAAAAACCGAAACTGAAACTATAATCTGTGTTACGTTTTAAGTGGTTTCTATGGTGTTTGTTGTGGTTTGATGGCAGGTGTGCTGCAATGAACCTGTGAACTGCACAGGATGGCTTTTCACAACCTCAGATCTAATCGTGCCTGAAATATCAATGGGTAGAGGCCAGAAAAGGCTGTCTCAAAAGGTCAGCCGCTTCGGCACCGCCTAGCTTCCTTGGACTACTCACTCTCACCCCTGAAAGGTTACTTCGACTAATAGACGCAATGACGATGAGGATGACCGCGATGAGGGGTAGTTTACTGACCAAGAAAAACCCCACTGGTTGGACGCAGGAGCGGGGTGCCTAAGGTTTTCTTTCGACGGTAGGATAAGTCCTCGCACTTTATTGGATAGCTACCACCCTCCCAAGCTGGGTAGCCTCTAACCAAAAAGGTGATGCCCTGTCCACGTTCCGTCAATCTCATTGGGTGAATAATGCTAATAGCCAATCCCAAAAAGCGAACTGTCAATCAACCCGGAAGCGAAAAATACATTGAATCGAAACCCAAAGACCCTGAGCAGCAGGTCTCTAGAAGCTCCCACACGGGCGCCTCGGTCACGCTCACGCATCGGATCTAAGACCCACTGCTCTGTGGGCCAGACTTTTGAGCCAACGACGTCGGTCAGGGTTCCCAGAGAAAAAACCCTTTATCTGTGTGGGCTACCCATCTGCTTAGTTCTTCTTCTCACTCCCGAATCATACGAGATGCCTTCTGTATACGTCACCCATAACTCCGCGTTTTAACAGTAAGGCCAGCCAATCAGCGTCTATAAGATTGTTGAAGCCAAAATCCTCTTTTCACGTAGCCGCGTTCAAATGTCCGCACTCTAAATTAGATCAGTCAACCAGCTGACGTGGGTAGAACTCGAAAAAATCGCAATTTAAACGTATTCTGTGTGTGTAACGACCTTGGCAACTTGCCGTTCCCTTTGACTGTGAATTGTGTGCATGTCTCACTAGACCTTTTGGTTCATAGTGTCTGCATTTTCCTCCCTTTCAGATTGTCAGTTCACCCTCTTCACGGAGAACCTCCTGTCTGGTGATAGTTCCAGCCCACACCGCGACTCGGTCCACTTGTGATTGTCTGGTGTATTCGTTCACTGGGGATATCCTTCCGCACACACGAGCCAAGCATTTCACATGTATCACCGAAACAGGCACAAAAGACCCTGCTTCCATCATAACTCTACGTTCTTCTGACCCCACCTCACTGTCACGCTTCACTCTTCACGTGTCAGGCAACTCGGCATCCGAAGCTCGCGGTGTTGCTGATGTTGGGATTGCGCTAAGTACCCATGCTGAACGCTCGCTTCTTGACTAGATTCTAGCCAGTAGACAACCGTGAGCTGTACGTTTCGACGTCTCAGTACGTTTTTTTTCAAGGCGAAGTTCAGCTCATTCGATCTTGAATTTTCTTGATAGGCGAAATTCAAGCATAAACTTAGTTTGTGCTGATGGTGAACCGATGTTTAATATTATTGCCCTCGCACCTATTTCTGAATTCAACAGTATATTCCGTGTCATATTCACGGCTGAGAAACTGAAGTCTGAAATCAAAGGACCTAAAAATCGAATTTAGGTGCAAGTTTGTCATGCCGACTTGGGTCCGTAATAAGTTGGAAAACAACTACTTGTTTAAGCTGTGACACGTTAGACACCACTAACATAATCCGCACAACTTAAGAACTTCACTCAATAGATTGCCACGTAGCGCGATTTTTGCCGAGGCAGCTAGTGGGTGGACAAAAGCCACAGATGATCAAAATACGACCCGGAATGGGGGCATGAAAACCTTAACCAAGAGGGTGGATCGTATAGGTCGCGTTAGGCTCCCTGGATGGTGACCTCGGGATCATTGTAATCAATGGTTAGAGACACTGAGTGATGTGACTGAGTGTCGTAAACTGTGGCTTTCGCGCATTTTATGAATTCCTTTGCAACCATGATCCACTGCAATTTTACAGTTCCCCTTCGAGTTTACTTTGAACATTTTAACCCCTCCCCCTAAATGAGCAGCCGAAGGCGTCAACCAAAACGGGTGCATAAAAGTGCAAGGTTAATGGTTGTACAAACTAAAACTATCGGTTAAGACAGTCATTTACATATTTACTGCATCAACCCCGTAAACTGGAAGTAACTTCGTGATGTATAGTAGACCATATTTGATTGGTATTATGAAAGTACAATCAGTTTTCTGACGAAGAGTGGATCTACGTCTATGAAGAACCATAGGGAAACGGTCCGGGAACAGTGGTCTTGAAAAGACAGATGATAGCATTACTTTAAAATGGAGAAGCTGCTGTTAATTAGGGGATACATTCATCTGAATCAACGACTTAGATCAACAGGTGGACATACCTAAAAGAATTTCCGATAGTGTGGGAGATTGTCTGTATTCCTTCCCTCTTCATTTTACGTTCGGTTCATTTTTACCTTCTTAAGCTAGTACTTTCCTCAAGCTGATCTCACGGACCTCTGCATCATTTCATTCTATTCAATTTACTGCGTCTGGCCATTTATGTAATCTCTGGTTTTCTGTGGAGCTTTCTTTACGTTCTGGCCTCTTACCCATGGGGTGATGCTCCTCCGCAAATGATTCCGTGAGCTTTCGTAACGTCTGATTTTTACTTCAAAGTATGAAAACTTTGGTGCCTCATTTCCCCTTCCTCACTAAACTATCCCCGGAATGTACCACGAATGCAGCTTCGTAGCATATTTATATGCGTGTTACATTTACTTCATAGTACTGACAACGAATAGAGGTGGCACCGTGTCGGAAACCCTTACGGAATGTAAAGTGAGAACGCGTCCCATGCGCTGTCGCTGATCGTTTGCGATCGCTTACTCAGTGAGCCTGACCCAAGCGTATTACCATCAGCCACGAGCTGGCAGTAGTCCCCCCATTTCAGAACTAGGGACGAGCTTCATAGCATGCCGCTCTGTTTAGTGTCGAACACTCGTTTTTCAAGGACTCGCTCAACTTCGAAATTAAAATTAGCTCTATATATATCGCAAACATCAAGAGGATAACGAAATGATGTCATGCTCTATATTGTATGCGCTAGTTACATTTATTGTTTGTGCATCATATAAAAATATTTACCTCACAAATAAATACTGCATTCGCGATGGAATGTAGCCCTATCTCTCTCTCTTTGATCAGCAGAATTTAATTTAACAAGGCAACAGAGGTCTCTGACAACGATTTAACTGAAATTTGCAGTCGCCAACCTATAGCTACTTAGTTGTTTCTGTTTCGAATTTATATCTCCATTACAGCGGTTCACCTGAAGAACTGACCTCCCTTTCCCGGTTTTATTCAATCTTCGTCTCTTGTTAATGTCATGCATAAAGGACCAGAGACGTTTACGCTCCAAGGGGAAGCATTTTTGGATTTAAGTAGTTGTTTCTAGAGAATCAGAAGCTGTTAAACACCCTGAACCGTTTTGTATTTCCTCGGACGTTAGGTACAATTTGTCTTTGAAGTAACAAATGAGATTAAAAGAAGTACATCCGAACGGCGAATATCAAACTCAACTATTACTATTATTCAAAATGTGATAAATAGAGAGAACTGGC